TGTGCTGCTGGGTGTTTTGATTTTTTTTTTATACAACTAGAATGAATAATTCTAAAATTTGTATTGAAACACAAAAGACCCTAAATAGCCAAAGGAATCTTGAATAAGAATAACAGAACTAGAGGTGTCACACCTCCTGACTTAAGACTAGGCCACGAAGCTATAGCCATCAAATTAGGATGGTACTGGCACAAAAACAGACATGTATCGATAGAGCAGAATAAAGAGCCCAGAAATAAACCCATGTACCTTATGGTCACTAATATATGACAAAAGAGACGAGCGTATGTCACGAAGAAAAAATAGTCTCTTCAATAAGTGGTAGGAAAACTGGATGGCTACAAGTAAAGGAACAGAATTAGAACTTTTTCTCACACCATACATAAAAATAAACTCAAAATGGATCAAAGACTAAATGTAAGATCTGAAACTATAAAAGTCCTAGAAGGAAACATAGGCAGAATACTTTTTGACATAAATCATAGCAATATATTTCCAATTCTCTCTTAAAGAGCAATGGAAACAAAATCAAAAATAAACAAATGGGACCTAATTAAACCTAAAGCTTTTGCACAGCGATGGAAGCCATCAGCAAATGATATGATACATAAGGGGTTAATATTCAAAATACATAAACAGCTCATACAACTCAAAAAAATACAATTTGATCAAAAAATGGGCATAAGTGAATAGACATTTTTCTGAAGGAAAACACACAGATGGGCAAGTGGCATAAGAAAAGATGAACCTCACTAATCATGGATATGCAAACTGAAATCACAGTGAGATACCACCTCACACCTGTCAAAATGGCTATCATAAAAATGATCAGAAATAATAAATGTTCACAAGGATGTGGAGAAAAAACAACCTTTGTACACTGTTGGTAGGAAGGGGAATGTAAATTGGTGTACCGCTATGGAAAACAGGATGGAATCTCCCCCCAAAATGGAAAAATAGATCTATCATATGATGTAGCCATTCCACTCCAGGGTATTTTACCAATGTAGCCAGAGAAAACTACAATTTGAAAGGATACATGCTCTTGAATGTTCATTGCAGCACCGTTCACAATGGGCAAGATATGAAAGCAACCTAAATATCCACAGAGAGATGAATGTATAAAGATGATGTGGTATGTATACACAATGGAATACTACTGAGCCATAAAAAAGGATGAATTGTGCCATTTGCAACAACATGGGCAGACCTGGAGGGTGTTGTGCATAGTGAAATATGTCAGAGAGAGAAAGACAAACATTGTACGTTATTAAAATAAACAAATGAATATGGTAAAACAGAAACAGTCTCTTAGATATAAAGAACAAATTAGTGATTAATAGTGGGGAGAGGAAAAGAGGAGGGGAAAAATAAGGGTTGGGAATTAAGAGACACAAACTGTTATGTATAAAATAAGCCATAAGGATATAGTGTATACCACAGGGAATGTAGCTAACATTTTATAATAACATTAAATGGAATATAATCCATAAAAATTTGGAATCGCTGGGTTATATACCAGAAACTAATCTAGTATTATAAATCAACTACACCTCAATAAAAAAGAAATAATTGAAAAACTTTCTCAGTACTACTTTGAAAACCCTTTTGACAGAATCTGGCAAGACTGAAGATATGCAATGCCCCATGACCTAGAATTCTGCTCATTGAAATGTGCCCTTGAGACACTCTTGCACATGTGCAACAGGAAAGAAACACAAAAATATTCATAGAAACTTAGTTCACAACGACAGGAAGAACACAAAATATTCATGTATGGACTGTAACCACCAGGTTCCTCTATCCAAGGGGATTATCCCAGCAAGAACACTGGAGTGGGCTGCCAGGCCCTTCTCCAGGGGATCTTCCCAACCCAGGGATTGAACTCGGGTCTCTTGTATTGCAGGCAGATGCTTTACCAGCTGAGCCACTAGGGGAGTCCAATTTGTCCAATACTGGACAAATTATGTAAATCAATAACAAAATTCAGCAGCATGTCATTTGGATATACACAAATACATGGTAAAATTATAAATAAAAGCAAAGGAATTATAAACACAAAATTTAGAATAGGGATTAGGAGGCAAAGAAATGAAATTAGAGTGGAAGACGCATGTTCAAGAGAATTAGAAATGTTACATGTCTCAAATGGGTGGTGAGCACACTTGTGTTCTTTTAAGAATACATCCTAAATATTATGTACATTAATTAAAATATTATGTATGTGTCAAATAATATGTAAATTATACTTATTAGATGCAAAATAGTTAAAACAAAAGGAACCTTTGCATGGAAAATATAAAAGGAAGAAAGAAAGGAAAAGGGGAAAGAGGAAGAGAAATTTTTCCTAAATTCTTCCTCCAAAATATTCTTTGTAGGGTGGAAATGGATCAGCAAAACAACCCAAAAGTCATTTCTATACTGTACTGGGTTTGGCACTTAGAGTAGGTTTTCTGAGTCAATGTACAATCTCATATTTTCAAGAAATATTCTTTTTTTTTTTGCAAAAAGTAAGAAAAGATCTTTGTTTTGAGCTTAGCACAGAACATAGCACAACTTAAAAGTTCTTAAAAGCAGCTCTAAAAACTGTATGCAGTATTCACTATGGAGCAGTCCTTACAATTGATTCTCTTAGAGACCCCACCACTTGGCTTTGGAGATGAGAAAACATCCTTATCAGGAACCCTTGTTTTGCTGGACTGACCCTCACAATTACTATGAATCACTCCCATTTCTCTCAATTCTATTTTTATAGACTGGGAAGATACACTGGGATGACCATCCATAGGGACCATATGGATGATGTGTCTTCTCTAAGGAAGTTCAAACCAGGGGGCCTGGCCCCAGCAGTTCGCCCCTTTTTAAAAGGTGAGTATTGAAGGCTGAAGTTATAACTAGACATGGAACAAAGGACTGGTTCAAAATTGGAAAAGGAGTACGTCAAGGTTGTATACTGTCACCCTGCTTATTTAACTTACATGCACAGTACATCATGCAAAGTACCAGGCTGGATGAAGCACAAGATGGAATCAAGATTGCAGGAAGAAAATATCAATAACCTCCGAGATGCAGATGAAAACACCCTTATGGCAGAAAGTGAAGAGGAACTAAAGAGCCTCTTGATGAACGTGAAAGAGGAACATGAAAGAGCTGGCTTAAAACTCAACATTCAAAACCTAAGATCATGGCATCTGGTCCCATCATTTCATGGCAAATAGATGGGGAAACAATGGAAGCAGTGACAGACTTTATTTTCTTGGGCTCCGAAATCACTGCAGATGGTAACTGCAACCATGAAGTTAAAAGATGCTTGTTCCTTGGAAGAAAAACTATGACCAACTTATACAGCATATTAAAAAGCAGAGACATTACTTGGCCAAAAAAGGTCCATATAGTCAAAGCTATGGTTTTTTCAGTAGTCATGTATGAATGTGACAGTTGGACCATAAAGAATGCTGAGCACCAAAGAATTGATACTTTTGAACTATAGTGCTAGAGAAGACTCTTGAGAGTCCCTTGGACTGTAAGATCAAACCAGTCCATCCTAAAGGAAATTAATCCTGAATATTCATTGGAAGGACTGATGCTGAAGCTGAAGCTCCAATACATTGGCCACCTGATGGGAAGAGCTGACTCATTAGAAAAGACCCTGATACTGGGAAGGATTGAAGGTGGGAGAAGGGGACGACAGAGGACAAGATGGTTGGATGGCATCACCGACTCAATGGACATGAATTTGAGCAACCTCCAGGAGATGGTGAAGGACAGGGAAGCCTGGCATGCTGTAGTCCATGGGGTCTCAGAGTTGGACAGGACTGACTGAACAACAATTTAAGGCCACATTATTCTTCAGTTTGGCTCACTGTAGCCGATTTGGAGGCATGTTAATAACATCCTCCTTAACATCTTTTTAATATTATACCAGTAACCCTTATTTAAAAAATTTAAAGCTTTATTTGTGGATCTGTGTGCTATACTAAGGAAAATAAGAAAACATGCACAGTGGGGCAAAAACAGGATTGTGAAATATGAATAAGTTTTTTATAAAATTCATATTTTGAAAGATGACATTTGTTTGTTTTAAACACAGAGGGGAAAGATTTATAAGTGTTTATAAGTGTTCACACCACATCTTTCCCCTCCCTGGCATACTTCTTCCATGTAATGCTAACTAAATGCACATGTGTAACTATTTTAAGTGTTACAAAATTCAAGGCAGTCTTAACTCTAATCAAAAATAAGAAAGTAAGTTGTTAATCTGTGGACTTTACAGAGGAAAAAGAACTAGATTGTAAAATCATATTTCACAGAAAAATCTAAATTGACTTTTCAGGTTATGAATACTTAATTATGGTAGGAACAGTCCAGAAATAGCCCATTTTAATTCATTTGGGAAAAGGTATTTATTCACTGTGCTGAGTCTCATGCTCAGGAAAGAGAACTGAAAGAGGCATAATTTTGAACTATCAAGCTTAACGCACATCCTCCCTCCCCGTGTCATGTCAGGATTGAGCCTGCTTAATATCACACCAATGGTAAAACCCAAATAGTGGCCAAAGATATACTCTGGCATGAAGAAATAAGACCTACAAAAAGTACTGAAAGGAAATTCACATGTATACGTATTATTAAGTTAAGTATCATTAAAGACGCTTTCATTATTGGATAATTGCACGTTGAAACTCATCTTTGTTGCCTGTCAACTCAACATTTTAACATCTTAAAAATGGAAATGGTGAGAAGAAAGCAGAGTCACGATTCTGTACTCTTTGAATATTATGTGCAGAAGTGACAGTAATCTCGGAAACATTTTAATACTCATTCATTCCCTTTCAAAGCCATATTAGGAGTAAGTCTCTCTGCATCTTCACTTGAAAAGAATTGCAATGGGCAGACCCATATTTAGCAAAAATAACTCACCAGTAAAGGCAGAACACAATAGTCTGTATTAAAGAGAGTTTCCTTCCATAGGCAGCGAGGAAGAAATGAGAAGACCTTACCTTTATGATGGTTTGCACTGGATACAACTTTCCCCCACAAGGTTACAATAAATATTATTATTAGCAGTTTTCCTTTTGTTGCTTTCTGTAAGTATCTCTTACTCATCCTGCAAAAAATAATAATAATAATAAAAATCTTAAGTATGTAAACCCACTGTTTTTACACTATAATCATGGCACATTTACAGCTTCCTATGACATCTTAACTCCTAAATTTGCATTTCTTATATTAAAATACTGTTCACTGTACATAAATTATGAACAGAAAAAAAATTAAAGGTTTCCAAACAAAGTACCTTGATACAATGCAAGGGATAAGAGAGGCCCTACCTCTACCAACCTTGTTTCACTTAATGACAGCTGAAACCAACTAGAAAACATTACTATTTTTCTCTCATATAAATATAGATTCAACTTATTCAAAAAATTCAAGGCACAGCTGTTTGAATGATCTTTAAGTAAGTGATTTGTTTTACTTTTAAAAAATCCTCTTCAAAGCCAAGTCAAATGGTCAGGGTAAACAGTTTAGATAAGATGTTTTTGATGAATTCCTGCACAGAATAAAGTCACTTCAAATCTATTATTTCTAATGCGCTTTTTAAAAGTCACTTTACTGTACAACATCACTACTGCTGAAACACAGATGTCTTAATATTGTTGGAATCTACCATGCTGTACTTTAAGAGTAGAAGAAAAATGAAATAGCAGAATGAAAAATAGCAAGTTAACATTTTCAAGTTGAGACTACAAAACAGGAAAACAGAGCAATGTTATAATAAAGTACTAGCTACTCATAACAAAAGTTTAGCACCTACTTTCTGTAGCACCAAATACAACATTATTTCAACTGTTCTTCAGGACAAATTGGGGATGTTGGTATGTCTATTCCCATTTTGTAGATGATGAAGGACAGAAATTACATTAAATTTGTGTTTAATGATAGAGTAAAAACTCAAACACCAAATTGCCTTAATCTAAAATCTTTACATTAACTATTATATTGCCAAGGGGTAAGCAAAACATAAAATATAATCCATCTGCCTTTTATTTATGAGGGAGATAAAATATCTGTCCATCACACTGTACCTCCTCAGATTCAATCCTGAATGGACTGAACCCCATTCTTGTCTGACCTGCATTCTTGTCTTAGTTCCAGAGCAAGTTTGTGAGGTCGCTTCCTCACCTAGCCTGATTCCTCCTCCTGAGTTCTCCAAGTTATCTTTTTGCTCACACCTTCACTTCCAAAATATTCTGTCTCTAAAAGTATGACTCAGTGGTAGCAATGATGACTGTTTAATTTTGAAGAGGAGTCACTCATACCAATAAATGGATTAAAAATAAATAGATATTTTATGTATATCTAATACAGATACACAGTTACACTTCTCAGCCTGGAGAGATTGTTCACACTGATTCAGAAGTTGAGGGGGCAGCAGTATGACTAAGAACGTAGACTCCAGACTTACTCCCGAGTCAGACTGTTTGGATTGAGTCCAGGCTCTCTTGGCTTCTAATTGAGTCATCGTGTGTGAGTTTCTGGATCCCCTGCCTCGACTTTTTCTTCTGTCATACGGACTGTGTATGTGAAAAGCCTGGCCCCATGACTGCCATGTGTAAGGGCTCAATGACTGTGAGCCTGGAAAGTGTTCAGTCACTTGGATGTTTTGTTGTTCCTGGAGTACATGAGAGGCCCATCCATTCATGAGATGATTGAGGGGAATTTCAATGGGTCCAACAGCTGCAAGACCTCCATGGACCTTGGTCTTGTGACGTGTTTAGATAATGTACAAAGGAATAAGTGTTTGACCTTCGGATTAGATGGCTTGGTTTAAAATCTGGCTTCTCGCCTACTATCTATATGACTTTGGATAAATTACTTAACTAAGTATTTTCACAACCAAAATGAGAATAATAATATCTATCTCATAGTTGTTGGTACAAAAACTAAAGGAGTTAGTTCATGGAAAGAATTTACCACTACGCATACAAGATAATTAACGCTCAATAGGTGTTAACCATTACTACGGCCATAACTTTGTTAGACTGGCATTTCCCCAATCTGCGTGTTCTGCGAGGCATCACTTTCACAGAACATTGATACAATATTAGTGAAAAACAAAGGAGGCAGGTAGATTTACAAAGCTCTGGGTGCAACCAGATTTTTTGAAACAAGAGGCATATCTGAGTGCACAGCATTGTGTAGAAACCTTTCGTCACAGTGTAATACAGTATACTAATGTCCTCAGGAAGTATCTTAGAGAAACAATCTGGTGTAGGGGTATTTAATTCCCATTTAAAATCTTCCATTCTATTACCTTTGTGGTTTTTTTGGGCACTCTGTTAGCTTTGTTATGAGATTCTACTTTTCTCACGTTTTTACCACCATTCTGCCTCCTCTCCTACATCCAATCCCTGAAACCACATTGCACTGCATATCCTATAAGAGAAGGAACAGTTTAGCAAACTTCATCTGACAAGAAGAGCTGCTTAGCATAATTCTTGATAATAGCTTTCCTGTAACAAATGGCCCCTGCTACAAGGTCAATGGCCCATTGTATTTTCCCTATCACTGTCCACCGACCACATGGCATGACAGAACTGACAACTGGTCAAACTGATAACTAGACATATGGAAACAGAAACACCCACAAAGTCACCAGGCTGTCAAACTGAGAAAGGAAGGAGAAAGCAGGTCAACATTTGGAAGTCTGTAAAGACCCCTGCCTTTCCTCTCATGCCACCCCACCCCGATCCAGTCAATGACCACGTTCTGTCAGTTCTGCTTTCTGAATATCTCTTACTTATGCACACACCCCTGGCGCAACACTGCAGTTCAGACCGCCAAAATTTCTCATGGGCAACACGCAGCCTCCTAGCTGGACTTCCTGCTGCCAATATTGCCGTCCTTTGGAACTGAAGGCTGGGTCTGTGTCTGCTTTTCTCGTGACCCTGCTTGTCATATTTAGTACTTAGGAGGTGCCTGATAAACACTGCTTATTGAGTGAAATGCATTCTCTATGTGTGCTGTGCTTAGTCATTCATTTGTGTCTGACTCTTTGAGACCCCATGGACTGTAGCCCACCAGGCTCCTCTGTCCATGGGATTCTCCAAGCAAGAATACTGGAATGGATTGCCATGCCCTCCTGCAGGGGATCTTTCCAACCCAGGGATCAAAGCCAAGTCTTCTGCATTGCAGACACATTCTCTACCATCTGAGCCACCAGGGAAACCCGTATAGCACTCCCTATACTCTAGCCAAACATGTAACTATGATCATGAGACCCCCTTCATATGATTAAAACCTTCACACGATTCTCTTCTATGTTCAAGGAAAAAAAAAAAAAAACAAACTTGTACTGGTATCAGAGTTAAAAACAACAACTTTACTCTTTCTGTCTCCAATCTTACACCATTCTTCCCCATCTCTCTCTCCACATGCACTCATAGTCAATATTTTAACTCTACAAAATTTCCTCCACATCTTCCAGCTAAACCTCCATGTCCCCGAAACACGTCACCCACCTCCACTACTCTTCAAACTGCTAACTTCTATTCATTGGTCAGGGTGCAGCTTAGAATTCCTGCTATAGGATTTGGTCAAGATCATGTTAACAGCCCTACTTTATATATACCAGGCACATGTCACACTGTGATATAATTTTCTATTTACTTATCCCCATCCCTCAGTCATACAAGATTTCTAAAGATAGGGACTGTGAACCACACATTTGAAAATACCTAGAGCCTGAGAGTCTCTTGAACTGCAATGAGATCAAACCACTCAATCCTAAAGGAAATCAACCCTGAATATTCATTGGAAGGATAGATACTGAAGCTCCAATACTTTGGCCACCTGATGCAAACAGCCAACTCAGAAAAGACCCTGATGCTGGGAAAGACTGAGGGCAGGAGGATAAGTGGGTGACAGAGTACAAAATGGTTAGATAGTATCACCAACTCAATGGATATGAATCTGAGCAAACTCTGGGACATAATGAAGGACACAGAAGGCTGGCGCACTGCAGTCCATGGGGTCACAGAGAATCAGAAATGACTTGGCAACTGAGCAATAAAAAAGAGCCTGGCCCAAGGTTCAGCACGATAACTAAAAGAGGATCTGTTGAACGCGGGTCACATCATGTTGTAGAGCCAAATATATCGTGCCACTGCCAACACGAGCAGGAAGCAAGTGCGTGTCAGTATTTTAGGATGAAACGAGGAAAAGACCCACAGAAAGAAGAAAGTGAGATAGGGGTAGGAGAGGGGAAGATAAGAGAAAGCGAAGAAGAAAAAGAGAAGGGAGGAATCCAGTCTGGAATGTGATCTATTCTGATTTTAAAATAACAACCAAGTTTGAGCAAACTGAAATGTATGCTGATGACTGATATTCCACAAAGGGGCAACACCCAAGAAAACCCTAAAGACAAAAGGCTGGAGGGTCTTCTTCTTCTTGACCTTGTACAAGAGCAGAGAAGGTGGGGGCACTCACTTCTCATTCAAGGTGCTGAACACCAGGTCTCAGTCTGAAAACCTCCCCAACAGTCAAGGGCTGAATGCACTTCCAAAACTGTCACACTTATCTGTTGTGTTGTTTTTTTCTTTCTTTCTTTCTTTTTTTAAGCAACATTTAAGTGAACTTTATAACCACAAAAGCTGAGGGAAGAAGAAACGGGAAACTGAAGGATAAATTCACAGAGAGGATGAAAGCTTGAAATTGCTCCCCAAGCAGCAGCCGCTGGCAAGACAGGGGAAATAGGATAATTGAGAAATGCTAACCTTGGCGGTGAAGGATGCTGAAGTGAAAAGCTGTCAAAGTAGAGAACTGACAATTAAATCTCCAGACTTTCTTTTGCTCTTCTCATCTGTACTATGTTTCAGTTATATGCTTTCAGATGCAGATGTCTGAATGGTGTTAGAACCTTCTGCCTCCCCACTGATGTTAAAAGTGTATTTTAGTTATGACTAAGCAAGAAACGATTATGCTGCTAGAAAATCACTTCACCATAAAAACAGAAGGCAGGTTTAACTGATATAAAGAAGATGGAAGGGCAAAAAAGGTGGGAAAGACTTGTAAACAAGGAGATAAAAAACTGGAGCCCAGAACCC